GACTAAGAGATAAGTACTTTTTTTTATCTTTTTTATTTCTTTTTTTTTCTTTTTCTTTTTATCCTTTTTTTTTTTTTTTTTTTTTTTTTTTTTTTTTTTTTTTTTTTTTTTTTAAGTTATGCATCCCTACCGTAAACTTCAGGACCAGTTCCAGAAAAATCAAATATAGCAGACCCCCTCTTTCTCATCAATCTCTATTTGTAATTCAATAGGTGTTCCATCATCCATGTAATCGGTCGCCTTTAAAATATTATGTCCTAATCGATGACTTATGTTTTTCAAGAGGTTCCTAACTGATAATTCGGCATTCTTTCTAATATATATCATATAAGCTTGAACCACATCCAAACCATATTCTTGAATTAATGTTTTCACAAGATTAATGCCTTTGTGGTTTGCGGCTACTTGAGCTTTAATATCTGAAATGTTATCACGGAGACATCTTGTCCCAGAACATTTTGGATATCGAGCAGGTTCGTGCAATAAAATATTGGTAAGACCATCCATATCAAATGTTCCCTTTGAAACGAGTTTAAATGATTTGACAGCAGCACCTTCTTCAAATAATTCTTTTGAATGTGGTGGCATAGAACCTAGATATTGAAGAAATAACATGCGTTAGATTATATGATTTGAATTTCGTAATAGGGATCGATAAAATAATTTCATACCAGGTAAAATACCACCAATATCCGCATGATGACCTCTTGACGCAACAAAAAATACGATTTTTCCTTCATTGAATACTGGGGTTATTACAGTAATATCTGTAAACAAGAAGTAATGAGTTTAATGAGATAAACAATTATTGCTTATATAAAAAATATGATAATTTGAAATCAATAATTGCCTGGTAAATGTGAGCCACCAGCTTGCGGGTGATTGGTCATAATAACATCACCATCTTCTAGTGTACCATTGTAATACTCCATTTGATACTTAACCGCATGACTTAAGCTCCCCAAATGAACTGGAATGTGTGGAGCTGGAAAGAAAATATCAAACAATTATGTATGCTTTTCATAAGCAGACGTGTTAATTAATATGGGACGTACCATTTGCGACCAATCCTCCATCAGCTCCAAATAGAGCACAAGAAAAATCTAATCTTTCTTTAATATTTGTTGAGACAGCTGTCTTCTGTAAAGCGTTTCCCATTTGCTCAGCGATACTCATGAATCGATGCTCAAATATAGATAATTGAATCGGATCAGATTCAGTAATCTTAGGTCACTTTCAGTGCGATTATATATTGCCTCCGCTGCCTTGTGGATGTAAATATTCCACTAAACCAAGGTTGTCTTACACCGATAGATATTAGAATTCCTCCAAAGTCTATATTAAATCCATCTGACGACGCAGCTGTCGTTGGTGGTAATGTGCTAACATCACAGCGCCTTGTCGATGTTATTCTTAAAGCATTCCAAGCATGCGCCGCAAGCCAAGGAGATTGTAATAATTTGACATTCGGAAAAGATGGAAAAATAGTAGATGAAAAAATGGTTGATGGATGGGGATATTATGAAACAATTGCTGGAGGTAAATTATAATTAAGTCTGGTTTAATGAACAAAAGTATATAAATCATGTATTTTGATTTATAGGTAGCGGTGCTGGCGAATCATGGGATGGTCAGTCTGGTGTGCATGTGGTATGTGATTATTAGTGTTATTTTATTATCACCCACTTCATATATGGTATATCTGACTGGCCTTAATCACAATAATTTTTCTAGCATATGACAAACACAAGGATAACGGATCCAGAGATAATCGAACGAAGATTAGATCATGCGGTTATGTTACGCGAGTTCTCACTTCGTAGAGGTACATTTCTTACAAATTTCACGAAATTTATGGACCTACTTATCTATATTTATAACAATTTTAATTTATAATATTATAGGTTCAGGTGGTAAGGGTTTGCATAGAGGTGGCAACGGAGTGATCCGTGATCTTGAATTCCGTGAGCCACTTCAAGTGAGTCTACTTACGGAAAGAAGAGTATTCCATCCATACGGATTAAGAGGTGGTAAAGATGGTGCAAAGGGATTGAACCTTTGGATTCGTAAAGACAAGATTAAAGGGAAAGACCGAGTACTTAATTTAGGTGGTAAAAACAGTTTTAAGGTTGGTGTGGGAGATCGAGTTGTGATTTGTACGCCAGGGGGTGGTGGATGGGGAGTACCAACTGATGAAACTAATGACGATATGGACATTGATGAAGCAATTACGAGATTTTTGTAAATTAAGATTACATATGTTAATAATTTAATGCTTGATAATAATATATAAATATAATGTAAAATGTAATTTTACGATGCAAATAGTTTAGAATCAAATAACAATTATTTAACAATAATATTTGAATAATAATTTTGATCCCTGTTAAAATACTGTATAGTAAACAGGGGTTATTGCCACTCGGATGGGTCACCCGTTGAGTCCTACGGGCGACCCGCGGATTTTTGTCTGTCCACTATCAATTAGTGAACATAAAAGACGAGCAAGGTTATCGTGAAATTTCGGAATAGAGATTTTTAAGTTAATCCATCCATTTCACATAGATGATATATGGTCTACTCGTCGGTGATCCGATGTGGGACTTTCTAGTTGACCCGGTTTTCACTCGGGTGACATATGGCCCACCTGTCGGGTGAGGTTTTTTAGATAGTCAAATCACTAGTCTTTCCAAATAAGCTTTTATCTTCTCAGTTTTACAAATTTGCATAACCAAGAGAACTTATAGTTTGTACTGCTTGATACTGGTTTGCATTTCTTTGTATAATGTTATATTAATATTTTTTATCCTTCTAGTCTTGCCAGTACAACCATAGTTAATAGTTATAGGTATTCTATTCTAACTAATTAGTAATAAACAATTACTGTAACAAGCAAAATTTGAATATTTAATAACAGGAGAAACCGTCCAAATATAGATATGATTTTCATTCTCCGTTACACAGATCACTCATTGTATCGACCAGTCAAAATATCACTGCGGGATTAGTCAACCAATCAAATTGCAAAATTTACAAAAAGACGAAAGCATGGGATTCAAGGGGATTCAAAAAATATGTTGTAAAGCAAAGTGAGAGCTTCATGTTTGTTTAACCATTTTCAATATTCATAGAAAAGATAAGTCAAGCGAGCCTTCCAAAAAAGTATTGTAAAATAATATAAAAAAATTTTTCATCAATTGTGTGACGTATCAACGGTTCCTCCTGTTATATTTAATATGTTATATTATAATTTTTATTTTTAAATATTAAAATTTAAAAAAAATAATTCATAAGCATATTTATAAATAAATTTGTTTAAAAAAGTTTATAGATTAAAAGATAAAAATTTACCAAAAATAATTAATTTTAAAATATTTTATAAAATTTTTTAAATATATAGTTAGATTTCTCTAAATGCAACCTCTATAAATACAATGCAAGTTTTTGTCTTGGCCATATGAAATCAATACTAAATATGTTTTTTTTTAAAAAAAAAAATTGAATAAACCAGTAATATTTTATTAAATACAATTATAACTGTGTATATAATTGTTGAAATATATTACAACCTAGAACTAAGTTATATTAATCTAACTCAAAGTTCTGATATTTATCTGGCTGCCCTTATAGGTGTCTAAATATATTCTAGTTGTATTATTAGCATGCTATAGTTAAGACCAATATTGTATCTACCACTTGGAAAGATATTGTCATTATACTGTTTACTAATAGAAAGAGTTGTAGCCTTTTTAGTAAAATACAATTAAGTAACAAGGTTATTCAGTATAATGATTGACTTTTGCAAATATATATAAGGTGGAAGTATAGTTGTTTACTTAACTACACAGCAGAAGGCAAATGGTTTAAGATAGTAACAGTATATAGAATAGCTTTATTTTATATAAAAATATAGAATAAACCTTGTCTGTAGAAATTATTTTAGAGGAGTAATATAATATCTATATGAAAGATATAAAAAGAACAGAGTTTAAGATGAAATATAGAAACTTAAGAATTGGTAAAAAGGAGAAAAGATATTCTTTATATATTTTTTTCTATAGAGAAAATGCATAATGCATAGTAAATAAGTAACACTTAAAAAGAGAAGAAAGGAAACATCAGAAAAATTAAATAAATATAAATTTACAAAAATTTGTTAAAATACAGATTTTTACAGAACTTTTATAATAAATCTGTAAAATTTTCAAATTAGAAATTTTTTACAGAATTGTATTTAATTTTCTGCAATTATAGCTAGCAGGTTTGAAAATTTACATAAATTTTTATTTAATTTATTATTTATTTTTTTGCAATTCTACATAGAATTGTACTAAAAAAAATTTTCTAATAAACTTGTATAAAAGAAGTAGAAAATTATATTGGGTAAAGTAGGTGATTATACTGAGTAAAGTAAAGAAATATAAACATTATTTATCATATTTATATTTATTTATAGCTTATGAGGAGAAACTAGATAATAATTTTTTTTTTTTCTTGTTCTTGGCGCTGTGGCTTTGCAGTGTTTTTTCCAAGTTTGGTGGCGGAGTGCTTTCCAAATAGCGCCGAGTACTTTGGTTTGT